ACGCACAAACAAATCTGCATACACCAAAGACCAACACCACAATCTACGAACGCTCACTACCACTACATCTCTAATGCACCACCACTAGCACTTCACCTCAAATCCACAACAATAATTACCATTACCATCACCATCACCATCACTTCCACCAACACCTTCAACAAATACCAACCACTAGCACCACCAATGTCAAATGTAAATCAGCACAACTACAGATTCGCATCACCGACACCAATCAAATATCGTGCTACCTCACCCTATCGTCACCAACAGCACCAATACTGCCAAAACCACCACTAAATTCTCAGCCACCAAGTCCTAAACCAACTCCACCTTCACCACCAATTTTTTTCCCACCACCACAAATGTCCTCACATATACCACCACTATACGCACCTCCTCCACCAGTCTCCTCCACACCCCCAATACCTAAATTCCCACCTCTTCCACCTCTAGTTTAGTCACCACCACCAAAATCAACATCGGTGTACCAAAAGCTGCAACCACACTGAAACCTCCTCTAGAATCATCGATAAAGGCTCTTTTTGGGCAACCGTGAACCAATCAATCGAGAATGTAAATTTAGCTTGAGCCGATTGTGAGAATGGTACAGCTCTAGCAAGAGCAACCTCTAGCGATGGTGGCCAATACTACATTGGCGGCTTAACGATTTTGTTTTTTGTTTTTATTTATTTTTTAATCAAATATTCTCTAAAAAAAATCACTAATCCAAAATACATTTTTTCCCAAAAAAGGGCTCAAACATGGTATAATAAAAAAAAACTGGCAACTGGGCAATCAAATCAGAACTCAAGTCGTTGCTAACTGAATAGCTTTTCGTTATTAGAAGAATTTATTATTTTGCATGTACTAGTTTTAATCAAACAAAATTTTTACAGGGATTGTATTTCTTCTTTCAAGATGCTTTTTTTTCTTTTTCAATTTAAAGAAGCATTTTAATAAAAATCACACAAAGTAGCGAGTTTTATTAATTAGTAGTAGAAAATAAGGGTGTGGATTACGTCTGATCTCCAACTAAGTTGAGTGATTAGATAAAATTTCAATATTTTCTTTTAAGAGGAATAATATTTGGATCCATAGAATGCGTGGTCAATTGCGAGTATATGATTGAAATTAATATTTTATTTAGACTAAACTGGGAAAGTACATTTTTAGTAACGTCTAACTAAACACGGAGTAAAAGATTATGAAATCCTAGCTTAATTCACATGGAAACGAGAAGTACAATAAAATATAATTTTAAATCCCCTAACATTGATGCTTGCTCATGGGAGCTGTTGTCTAAATCGTAATTGCTTATTGGTAGTTGATGGAAACTTAGTAAACTAATTGTCCGATCCAACTGGAACCATGTCCATTTTATAGGGATAAATGTTGCTATTTTTTCTGATATAATTTACAGATAAAGTTGATGAGTCTGACATCTAGCTGGCCTTTAATTAGGGCTGTAAGCAAAAATCGTAAAATCGAACCGAAATCGCATTTTAGAAATCGTCAGTTTGGTGCCACGTGGACCCGATCAACAAAATGATTTTGACCCAAAATTGTTTGGTTTAGGTTTGAGAATTTTAATTACGGTTTAAAACCAAACCGGACCAACGAAAAACTATATAAAAATAAAAAAATGAAAAAATTAAATTTTTTGAAAATTGATCCAAATGTGTAAAATTCAATAGTTTTGTCATTTGTGGGTATTTTTGTCAATTCCTAATTTTCTAATATAGATATATTATTATTATTATTATCCAATAATCCTAATATATATTTAATAATTTCAAGACTAATATAATCTATCAAAAACCTTTTTCTTCCTCCTCAAAATTTAGATGAACTCCAGTCGACACCCAACACAGTTTTAAGCCACTGGTACCACGCTTCTTTTTCAGATTTTTCACGCCTCTTCAAAGTTGAATTGAAGTCCATTATACCAAATCGGAGACAAAGAGATCCTAGACATTCGGTGATAACATTTGCTGCAAATAAAGTTTCAAATCAATAATTTTTTGGAGCAAACTAAGGTAAGAACCTAAAATTAAATGTGTTTCGTAACATCATACGAACATAAACTTGTGTAATTGTTATGTTTAGATATTATAAACAATTGTTTTATTATTGTGATTGGTTATTCTCTTTGTTTAATCAGTATCCGTTTTTTCAGATATGATGATCACGAAATCTTGTTAGACATCATTATATTTTTTGGACCTTATATCTAGTTTAGTAGACTTGTATTGTAACGTTATTGTATCGTCATTAGCCTAAAAAAGGTGAACAAAAATGAAAAAAAAATTATGTTTTAGTTTATTGTGATTTCACTTTGATTTAGTTGATATTTAAATTTATAGTAGATATATTTAGCCCATGTTTGAGCCATGTTTTTCATATCATCATAATGAGAAAATTGACTATTGGAGAGGAGGCTGGGTCCCACACATGAAATAGCAGGTCAACAAAGACGGCTGAACTTGTGGAGTAACGGTCTAAATTTTCATTTTTTTTTCCAAAAATTTGCTTCAAACAGGGGTTTAGTTTGTTTTAGATTTATTACTAATGAGATATTAATATATATTAAATTCAATGAATTAATGACATAAAAGTAGACGGGTAAAAAATTATATGGTGAAACCGACGGTTTAAAACCGGACCAAACCGTTAGGTTTAGGTTTGAGTTTTTTTCAAACCGTTCAAAATGGTTTGGTTTAGGTTTGGATTTTCCTCAAACCGTTTTTAAACTGTTTGTTTTGAAAATATGTCAAAAATTGGTAAAACCATACCGCTTACACCCCTACCTTTAACAAAGGAGTGCACATAATCTACTGCGGGTCACCTTTGAGGCGGCTCAATGGAAGTTGCCACTTGTCTTGATAAGACAAACTGCAAAAACCTTAGGGAAAAATTCATATGTAGGGTGTATTGTTTACACCAATTCACAAATCAGGCACAAAATTTAAAAATTCAAAATTCGGGTTTATGTATAATTAATTGAAAATATTTATTAATTAAATATTATAAAGTCACAATTACACAATTAATGATCACAGATTCATAATTATTGGTCACATATCATCGAATTAATTGGTTACAGATTATTTCGAGGTCACAAATCAAATATTTTGTAGATCACATATTATTTCGAGATCACAGATAAAAAATTTACAGGTCACAAATTATTTAATTGGTCACATATAAAAAAATTATAAGTCACAGGATTACATATGTTCAAAGTTATTAGTCACATATTCTATCTTTTGAATTCGTGGCCTATGACCTATAACCGTGATATGATCCAATGGCCTGTAATCAAGCCTCTTGAATCTGTAACATGTGACCTATATACTTTGACGTGTATTTTGATAGGTCACAGATTTTGGTCACACAAACTCAATTGATTTTGACCTACACACAGCCACCATCACCACTTATGGACATTGATCCATCACCAACATTCCACTACAACCATCATTGTAACACTCCACCACAACCACCATTATCGCACTACCACCACAACTACTAACAACCCAACAACCAAGTAAATCACCAATGCCAACACTCCACTCTTCAACCTCTACAAATCCATTACAAAACACTAACTTCTAGTTACCATGGCCACCAAAATCCACCACAAATAAATTTCCCTCTGCAACCTCTACAAATCTATTACAAACATCAGCCCAAACAACAAACAAATCGGACGAAAATCGGGCCTCAAAATCACAAGTAATGCACGGCCTCCATCAAGATTCTTGCCACTCCGGTAACACCCATGTTCACGGACCATCACCAGCCAATTCTCACTAAGGTGATCAACTACATGGTCTTGATTCATCAAAACCAGACCCACATGTCGATGGCAAGAACAAAAATCTCCACAGTCGCGAACAGTTTTTGCGCGAACGGGCAATCGATCAATTCATGGACTAAATGCATTCCAAATGATGAATTCTACCCAACAACATCCCATTGAGATCCATAATACAGTGGGTAATCGATCAATTGAACCAATTAACCAGCAAATTTACCCAAATTTCGGGATATATTACGAAAATTTCCTTTCGAGCTTTCTCTCAACCACTGACGACTCCACTATGCTTCGATATAGCAAATCTACTGGGGGAAAATCAATAGAAGTCCAAAAGATGGCACAGAAAAGTAGGGGTAGAGAGATGTCGCCGGATTAAATTGGGGGGAGAGTGAGAGTGGCGACTATGTGTGTTTAGAGGGCGTGTTTAGAGAGAGAGAGAGAGAGAGGAGAGACCAGGGGAAGGAGGTAATGGGTTTAAAATTAGGGTTTGAAGCCTGATTTATGAATAATAAAATTTGACCCCTGATTTTTGAATTCTAATCTTTAAACACCTGGAATTTTGTAATTTCCTCAAAACCTTAAGACTCAAGTCCAGTCGAGATTCGGCAAAAATGGAGCTCAAATAGGAGAGAATATTGAATAGGACAATCGCAGCACGTCAGGATGCGCCAACTCAATGGATGACCCACCACACACACCCCAAGGTGTATAGGCCACCCATCGAGATAGCGCCTTGACATTAGGCGATCACATCATTCATGTGGTACGACCGCCCCACTGAAATTCCTTCCTCAAATAGAGGCCAAGGAAAATGTATAATTTAAGGAATATAATTTGTATTCCCATAAACTCATTATAAGGAATATCACTACACAATTACATAAAAATTTCTCGCTAAATGATCGAACATGCCCAAACAATTGACTTGCATCCCATAAAAATAATGTAAAAATTAAGTACCTCCTTCATTAAATAAACAAATAAAATATAATTTTGTTAATATTTATTCAAACCTCTCGTTGCTGGCGTAATCTCGCAAGCCAAACACATTCATTCAAATTTTAGAACGTAGGATGCTTAAGCCATTATGTTGAGGATTAGAGCCCCCATCTTTTTAATTCAAATCTGAGTAGAATCCCCTGAAATAGGAAATAATTTCTATGACGAATCATAGAAATTAACACAAATACAGTAAATAGCACTTTGAAATTAAGAGAAATGTTTCAACTTTCCAGGATAGTTTGTTATCTTATATATTAGAAATTATTCCTAGGGAAGCACGAGATTCCAACAACCATTAAGCAACAAACATATCTTTGACACCAGTTTTACGAGACAAATTCTATCACGAGCTTTTGCTTGTTCATCCTTGAGAATTTGGCAGCACACAATACATAAAAGTTCAGGAACAAACAGGCTGGGTTTCGTCACTCTTCTGCGGCACTGGCAGCACTTAAATCCACGTTAAGATCAAGAACCTGCATCAGCAACAAAATCATTAATAAAAAACAATGGAATTCTATTCAAATATGAGTTCTAGTCAAAAAGTAGTTTCTAAGACAAATGGTGTAATATTAGCACATGATGTGCCTTTTCTATCAAATGTTTCAGAAAATTTAGGAATATCTTGATACAAATGGGCGCAAGCATCTTTTACAGAGTAAAATTTGGGTTTCAGGCCACTCCATTAATACCAGTACAGATAAACTAATCATTCAAGCAATCAGAAGCCCACCAGACAAGTTATTCGCGAAATATTAGGTCTTTCCACTCAATACATTTGATAGCATAATCTTAAAGAGTCAAGATGTCTTCTTAACTATGTGTAGCCAGCTTGAGTTTTAGCTATGTTGATGTGCACAATTTTACCAATACAAAAAGTAGACTTAGAGCTCCTGATTTACATAAAAATAAATAAAAAATAACATTCCCATTTTTACTAACCTTATATTATCAAATTAAGCAGGAGTAAATTGCCCAGCAAAGTGAAAGTCCTTAAAAATGGACTAAAATATCTCAAATAATTCTTGGCTCCTCCTAAAAAACACATTTCTTAAAGACCAATTTACCAAATGGTGTTCATCTAACTTATTACACGTACTATTCATAAATAAATTGTTGGGTTAGCATCATTAAATGTCCCCTTCAGGGCATCAGCATTGCATCACGTAGTACAAGTGTACCATTGAAGCACCAAAGTTACATATGGGACCGAACACAGAGAGAGTATGAACTATCAGAAAATACAAATTGAGTGAAAAATTCAACATGGAGGAAATATATTACAAACCCAAAAATTTTAAGTCTTACCTTTCCAGTAATGAGGGTATACATATTCAGCACATCAACCACTGTTGACTCAAAGTGAGTTGTCGCATCGTAACTCTGTCGTACAAAACAAAATAAGTGCATACATGCTAGGAAAGCAATGATCAAGCAGTATATTCAAATGAAATCAAATTCAACAGAAACTTACTGTTGATATAAAGCAATTGTCCAGAGAGGGCTCATTGACTGGTTCATATCTGTCATAAGTCTCAAAGAAGATTTCATCAACAGGTCCAAGAAGATCAATTCCTGGCTTCAGTTCAGTCTCGGGGTGATCAGTTTCTGCTTCTGTCGAGACAAACGCAATGAATTTCCCTTTTGGAGCAACATTGTGAGAATAAGAGCAACAAAACAGATACCTGCAGAGTCATCAATCCATCACATCAGATGTTAATAGAGGTTTACAGCCAGAATTTGAGGTGTTATGCATTGCTGATCAGGATAAAATTCAAAATTAGCAAGAGGTACTGCCCTTAAATCAAAGAACAGGAAAACTACACCTGCAGTTTTCAACTTTTGCTTAATGTAGCAATTGGGTCCCCCAACTACATTTTCTAGGTACTGGGGACGATTTGTAGCACTTGGGTCGACTGTCACTTTGGCCATTAAAAAGTTTGGTTGAAAAGACAATTAGACTCCTATTTTCAATCAAAACAATAGATAAATAAAAAAGAAAATAAAAGAATACCGAAAACGAAAAGGTTGTAAAGAAAAACAAATCCCTTAACCCCTTCACTCACCCTTCCAACGCCCTTAAACCGCCATCCAGGCAGGGGGTACAAGAAATGTAGGAAACACTGGATTTGGGGATGTTGGGAGTGGAGAACCAGCAGATTGGGGGATGGGGGGAAGCAGCCAACTGAGGCATGGAGGCGAAATGGAAATCAGAGGGGTGGCAATTGGGGGATTATTCTTATTTTTCTCCTTATATTTTATTTCCATTTCAATTTCTTCTATTTCTTTTTAATTTATATGTTCATTAAAATTATTTGTCTTTATCCATTTTGCTCCTCTGACGATGTTTAGTCACATTTTAGTGAGCAAGCAGATGGTTTCTGTCCACAGAGGACAGAAATATAACAAAATTGAAAGTTGGGAGGACCCAAATGGATAGAAAAATTTGTAGCTGGAACAAATGCAACTTTAAGCAAAAGGGGACTCCAGGTGTAATTTTCCCTAAAAGATAACATAACTTAAAAATCTGACCATAAAATCTGCTAATTAATCTTTTTTGCAGAGTTTCCCTTGAAGATAACTAATAAACTATGTAGTTAATCTTTTTAGCCTCTTATAAGATTACTCACATATCTGATTTGCGACCCAACTGCTTCTGAGGCAGAATAACCTGGGCTGAGTGAGAATCGTTGGTATTTTGAATCGGGTGGCTCATGATTGCAATGGCCCTTGCAACTTTGCCAACCTTCCTAACCTGCAATATTCCTCAGGTTATTGACCAAAAAAGGTATGTGAATATTCAGGTTCACAGAGATGGAATTTCGTGCTAGTGCTAGGAACCATAATGAAGTTGACTACAGAGCATGCATCTGCTACAACACAGACAATATATATTAGCGTTCATAACTTGTTCAAAAGTATTTTTAGACGGAGATACAGAAGTATAGTTATTAGGACAAAATTGTCTATGAGATAGAAGCCAACAACACAAAATTCAGAAAGAGATTTACCTTGTTAGGCAGGTAGGAAGGATCACATACAACTTTCTTGCACTTAGCAGTTTCCCCCTCTGATGTCACACCAATCACCTTTCCTTCCTCGTCAAACTCTACCTAGCATTCAAGAAATATTGTTTCAGGCTCACAACAAAGCATCCATGCCAAAAAAAGAAGGAAAGGTAAAATAACCAACAACAGATATAACACAAAATGAACGACAATTTCACATGCAACAGTTACAATGATAATAACATCATATCAACAGTGTTTCCTTACAAGAAGTTCATAACAACCACAACAGAAACAAAAATAACATCAAAACAAAGTTAAAAAGAATAAACAAGACAGGAGAGAGGCAAGAATGGGAGAAAACAATTAAACAATTACACTAGTAAGTAATAACATAAATAGCCATGATCACTGCAGGAGTAAAACTGTACATATTCTTTCAGTCTTATAAATAAGTGATAAACAAAGAGTAAAAGGATGTCTTTGAATATCCTATTTTTCCCCTTAACGTATGTAAACAGGTGTCGCGTTGGAAGAGGGAAAGGGAACAGAAAGAAAGAGACATAAGATATATGAAGCAAATACCTTGCACTCAGGCTTATTCAACATGTAGGTCCCACCATACACAGCACTAAGACGAGCAAATGCCTAAAGACACAGGGAGGGGGGACATAAGGTAGAGGGAGAAGAGTAAAGAGAAGAAATTATAAATCAGCAAATAATCTATTGCATAAGAAAATAATGGAATGGGAAATGCAAAGACATAGAAGAAACGGACGAACCTGGGGAAGCTCTCCTAGGCCATATAAAGGATAGATGTATGGCGATCCTCCAGCAAAGCGTGCTAGAGACTCAGAGTAAAGCTGACAATTGATGAGAAACAAAAGAGGTACATGAACTCGTTAACTTTTCAAGAATCCTAAATACTAACATCAAAAGAAAAGGTAAAGGGCTTCTTGGGAGCAAACAAGAACCTTTATCCTCTTCACAGTATCTAGGGCTGGTTCATGTAAGTAGCGGTCATCTCTGTGGAGAGCCAATGCATGGCCAATGAAGTCCACAGTGTTGTCATCAAGGCCATACTTTCTGTCAGATATTTAAAGTTTCATAAGCATAAACGTTCCAAGTTCACTTGTCAAAAATAACAGAAATAGGATATCATGCATATAATGTGGTCAATCAAACTAAAATTTTATTTCCTAGTATGAGAATGTCTATTCAAACATCTACTTATAAGATCTTCTTTCTTCAGATAACGACATTCAGATTACTTTGGTAGCTTCAAAGCATATATTTAATACAACGGTATGAGGAAAAAAAGGGTAAAGATTGAGGGCATACGCAATGAGCTCTCTAGTCGTGACTCTTGTCAAATCCATCCCTTCATGTGTTTTAGGATCATCTTCATTGTAGTCTTGGACATATATGAAGAATTTTCGAGCACGACGCTTTTCAAAAATACCCATGAGAGGAGATTTCAGGGCCTCCATGTCAGTCGCTGGCACTTTGTGAATCTGTTGCATTATGGCAAAAAAATTTGATGATATTAAGCATGTGAAAAGAAACTAAAAAACTGTATCCCAAAGAAAAAGGCAGTTTTAAACTTTAGTCAGAAACAATTATACCTTTCCCTTGTTGTAGACAAAGCTGCCATCAACGGCTTTGAAATACAAATATTTAGTAACATCAGTATGAATGAGGACTCGAACTAGAGCACCATTTGCCATAATAAACTGATGAATCAGAAAATAAACTAATCAGAGTATAATGATAAAAAGAACTGCAGTAAAGGATATTTAAATGGATATCAGGTCAAATAAAAACCTTTGGAATCATGTCGACGTTATAATCTCTACTAGAACCCAAGTGAGCCGGAGGCTTATCACTTCCTCTAAACCTCTTCCAGAGCTGTGGAATAATAATTTCCATCAAAAGACTTCATTCCAGAAAAGGGAGCAGGGACAACAGGCGTATGGGGTGTTTAAAGTTCATTACATCTCTTGCAAATATAAAAAAAAAAAAAAAAAAAGGAG